CGGCTGCCGGATCTCATCTTATGGTCTCGGTGGGTTCTCTTTCTTAGGAGTCACCTTTCACATTCTCGCTCGCATAGTCACCCTTGAGCTGGCATCTTTGCAAGCTGTACACGTCAATAGCCTGAAAAGCTTTCCTATTCTGTGTGAAGAACACCTCTGACATGAGCTATCATTCTAATTTATGGGAAAGCGCGAGTGTTCGAGCGCGTACGTTGACATCGTCGCAATCCGACGGGGCGGTGTCGGAGGCCTGGGATGCGCTCGCCTGTTGAAACCAATAGTGGACCGCTTCATGTGAAAGTAATCAGTAGCAGGAAGCGATGCGGGTGAGCTCATTCCACGCCTCCTGACACTGCCCCGTCGAACTGCGGCGATATCAATTGTACGTAGTGCTCACTGCCCATGATGAAGCGAATGCGTGCAAGTGGCGCCTAAAACGGGTGGCTAGCATTATACCAGAGAATCATCCTAGCCCAGCTGTTCCTCTCTTCGAGCAAAGGGAACAAGATTACCAGTTACTCATTGTGCATAAGGGCCACAACTGCCCCGTGCATAGTCCTTTTTTGATTTGGTGAACGCTTACTGTGTCCACCCACTCTCGTTGTCAATATAGGACCAGTTGTCAGTGGAATAATGATGAATTGGTGGAAGAGTTGAGGATCAAGTGCATGACGTTGACTAGTCCTTTTCCAGAAGCAATAGGTTTTTGGCTAGCTTACGGAATTTTTGTCTGAAGGAGCACATGGTCCTTACACTAGGTTATAGAGCAGTGCTTGACAACGTTTTACCCTCTAAAACGAATTTATTACCACTCAGCAGGTCCAGGAAGAGCGATTTACTACATTGTTGGCTCGGAGGGCCTTCGATTTGGACCAGGATTGACGGACTAGCCAGCAGTGCCACTTGTAGAGATCTGCTATGGGGACTTCATGGGAATGTGAAATATTTCTCTCACTCTCTTTAATACGACCCACTCCATATCTTGCTCTCGAGTGCAATCCCCTAGCAACTAAATACGAACCTGATGTGAATTCTACAATAACGGTACACATTGGCTCCACCTTTCTGTGCAGATCAATTCCTTAGACCGAAGAAGTGTATGCAACCAGAAATTGCAGTAGAAAGCTACCAGTAGCGGATTACAGGTGCTGATGAAGGTTGGTTGCAGGAAAACGTGTTCTCTGAGACTCCATTGCATGCAGCGTGTACAGGCGGCAAGTCTATTGAGCTCATTGCATTTCTGATGAAACAACCTGGAGTTGACCCCAATTATCAAGGACAGGATGGACATACAGGTAGACGGCCTTATTTGATACGAAGGTAAACTTGTAAGGGTTACTCGGTTCCTGCATTGCCGCTGTCAAATTGGCACTGTGTATCACCACGATGTCAGTTATGATCTGGAAACGGTACGGCGTGTGACGGGGCGTAGATTGAAGCGCTGTCAAGGCATCACAATGATGCCATCTTGAGTCCGTAGCAACTGGCGGAAGGCTGTTCTGGTTGAGCTCCAACTTGCGCCCCGTCACACGCCCTGTCGTTGGCAGGGATCATGACTGAAAGGGATCACGACTCTTGACCCGATAGCGTCACTACCATAAGGGAGGTTCACATTCATTCGCCTTCTTCTTCAGTGCAATCTACTTCCCAGAGGGTGAAGAGGTCACCCACGCCAAAAGTGCGGTGGTTGCGTATACTCACCCACGCGTCTATCGCGGAATGCGTTTGACTGGAATTAGGCGTGTCTAGGGGGATGAGGATACTGAACTTATACATAGCATTACCCATGCACTTCATTGTGCAGGCCGTACTGGAATATCCTATGTAATGGGTGTTTCTTTAGCTAACAGTCTATCAATTGTAGCTTTGCATTCGGCATGTTACCATGGACATTTACAAATTGTACAGTACTTGCTTGAAAATGGAGCCGATCAGTCACTTGCAGCTCGTACGAACGAAAGACCAGCAGCAGTACAACGGACACGTGAGTAACTTTTCTGAATCACTCGCAAGGACTCACTCCATCCAGGCTGTTCCATCCCTTGCAACAAATACTTTCAGCACAGTCGACGTTCGCGGCTGCTATTATGGCACTGAATCGTCCCGAAACGCTATCTGGAATTTCATCACGAGATTCAGTGACTTCCGTGGAGGTGCGTTCCGGTTTCAGTCATTTCACCATGGCTACTGTAGAGTTTCTTCGGCGTCCTAGTTTGGCAAGCGACAGGACAATCTTAGGAATTTATAGGACCAACAGACACCGGTGATCTGGGCCTATGAGAAAGGCCATGACCGTATTGTGGCGCTCTTGAAACAGTATGCCAACAAGAGACCTGATGCCGATGTTTGCAGTGAGTACAGGTATGTTCACGACATTTTCCGTTGTTCCTACGCCTCCAAGGCTGCTTGACATCATAAACGCCTCCAAGCCGACCTTGATGACGACTGCCTTTCATACTGCACTTCGCTACCTTTGAGAGAGAAAACGTAAGCTCCTCCTTGATTTTCCTTGTCTTCTCTATCCTCCTCCCTCATTTCTGAACCTCACTGCTGGTTTCATATCCCTCTTTGGTACCAAAAGTCAAAGCTGGTAACTGACGATCAGCAGGTTAGCTCCCCAAATCTGAGCAGTAATTTCAGCTCTGGAGATTCCTCTTACACACCGCTACCTTCACCAATGGGTCGACTACGATCAATGACCAGAGAGAAGGCCGAGGTTCTACAACTTCGATCAGCACTTCCACCAATGTTTCACCTCTCTTTGGCCGACATTGATTTTCAGGTAGTCTTTTGGAGAGTTCCTTCACAGTTAATATGATCATCCCTAATCGACCGGTCCAATACCAATATCATTCAGGAGGCTATTGGGAGTGGTTCGTTCGGCAAAGTCTACAAAGGAAGTTACCGCGGGAAAATCGTTGCCATTAAAAGGTATTTGATATTGTGGTATTTCATCATCGGTGGCTAGAATGAAAACGTAGAGGAACAGTATTTATTACAATGACCTAGAAATAAACGACAAGGGATAAAGGGTTCGCCATCGAATCGCCCTCTTTTCGGTTCATCGAGTGTTCGCCATCGATAAACCCTCGATCAACCCAAAAGAGGTTCATCGATGAATGCGCAGCGCTCTTTAAAAATGGGAAGACTCGTTTTGAACTGGTATTTTTCGCTGCGGAAACTAGGGCGTATCGCGGAGGCTCGGCTAGCCAGTACTTCATCAGTTTTTCAAGCGGGTAAGCGGCAATAATTTGGTGGGAAGTGGCTTACGGGGGATCATGCCCAGGTCGAAGACAAATGGATGTCAACTGCTAGTGAAAAGCAACGCATGGGCGATTTTTTATATATTGTACCAAGTTGTTACCAGTGGTGCCTTCCCCTTTTTCATTATGAAGATGAAAATTCCTTGTAAGTTTGCTTCTTCTTCAGATACAGAGCTGCAGTGTACGGTTGTAAATCAGAGGTGGAGATGTTGTGTCGTGAAGTGTCAATTTTATCGAAACTAACTCACCCGAACGTGGTCTCATTTGTTGGCGCCGTGCTGGACGATCCTAGCGTGAGTTTCCATCCCTAGTTGCCCTTAGGCGATCAATCGTACTTTGGGAGTATTTCAGCAATTCGCGATCATCACCGAGTTCGTCAGTAATGGCTCGCTGTTCTCTCTTTTGCACGAACAGAAACGGTACGTTTGCCTCAAACAACTTACAGTAACCAAGTTCCTAAGAAGATCCCCTTTGTTTTTCAGTGTTTTGGAATCTCCACTTCGCCTGCGGATTTCACATGATGTGGCGCAGGGCATGCGTTATCTCCATGAAAGCGCAGCGAAGCCTGTTATTCATCGGTGAGTGCAGTACGAAAGCGGGGCAAGGGGTGACGAAATCAAAAAAAGGGTTAAAAGGGTAGTTGAGGGGCAAGTCAATTTCAAAGAATGGTCTCATTCCGGAGGCATTTCACTATGTCCAGAATTATTCCTTATCTGGCAACTGCTTTAAGGGGCTTGAAGCTGTTAGAGGTCGAAAGGAAGACAGCCAGAACTGCTGAGTGCTGTTCAGAATAGTGGCAAACAAACTGCAGTCTTCTTACGAAGTATACTGTAGCGGACCATTTCAGTAATGAACTGTTTCAGGGATCTGAACAGCCACAACATTCTTATCCATCTCGATGGCCGAGCTGTCGTTGCTGATTTTGGTGAAAGCCGTTTCATGTGCCAGACCGAGGAAGAGAACATGACAAAACAACCTGGAGTGGGTGGCTCTTACGTATTTTGAGCTTTCAACCTAACTCAATTACTAGTGATCGAAGCCAGTATTTGTGAAGTTTGTTTTAATGTGTGGTTTGCAGAATCTTCGATGGATGGCACCCGAGGTATTTTCGCAATCGGGACGATACGATCGTAGAGTGGATGTCTTCAGGTGAGGCTATCTACACTACCAAGCGTAACTGCTGCCATGACAGCCCGAGTGATCCAATTTTACTTGATCGGAGTACTTGAGCCATATCATTTTCAGCTTTGCGTTAGTGGTCTGGGAGGTGCACTCAGCTGAGCTGCCGTTTTCACATTTGAAACCTGCCGCTGCAGCTGCAGAAATGGCTTACAAACGAGGTGAGTGGCCCTCGGACTTGTATCACATGCAGGAAGGCTTGAAGGCGTGGCATTATGCCTTCCTCCTTGACAGGAGGTACAATTCATGTACCGGAGATGGGCAGGGCGTGTCGTAGGACCTAGATGTACATACCGTGCTAGACAGCTGCAATTTAGTCAGGGACGCAAAGAAAGGGACGATACACGGTAGCGCTGACACACCTCTTGCCTTAAATCAGTTAGTAATGAGTCGCCTAATGGAACAGAGTTCGTATAACCTATGGAGAACCGCGATCAGTGGGGGATCTACTCTGTGCGTTTGGAGAGAAAGGGGGTCGTTACTCGGTTTTATCGGGGTCGTATGTGATTTTGAAAAGAAGTTAATTAGAGTGGGCGCCCTGCAAGCCTTGGCCAACAGCACGTCAGTTTTTGGGTAAAACTGGAAAATTTCAAAAAAGGGAATATCTTTGTAACTTGGTAAAGCTTTGGTGCTGGGAAAGATGGAGGGAAGCGGTCGTACCAGGAGGGGGCAGTTTGGGGGACAAAGGAGGGGGGCTTCTAACATCGTTATTTTTCCCCCGGGGTGTACCCTGATTGGGAAGACACTACCAAAAAATGAAGTGACTGTGAACCGTCGAAGATATTATGCTTGCATTTCATCCCATCATATTTGGTCATTCAACAGGATTCCTCTTTCCGCTTGTTGTTCGTTTCCCTGCGGCTTTTGGTATAAAATTCTTCCAACTGGAATAACTCCTTGGTTCAGCTCGACCGCCACTACCGGATGAGCCGACGATGCAGTTTCCAGAGCCTATACTCAGATTGTTACCCATGGCATGGCACCCAGATCCGTCGGCTCGACCCGATTTCTCACAGGTCAGTTACTAAAAGCCTCTTACTTTTACATATTTCACTCATTTCTGAAACGCATCCAGCAGTGCGTGTCCCGTTTAGATCGTTGCCATCCTCGAGCCGCACGTAGTTTGCTCCGTCCAAAACGTAGACGCACAAGGTACCGTATCCCATTTGAAGACGCAATGGGAACAGTTAGCGAACAATCCCATCAGGAAAATTGGTGAGTTATTTACTACTTCTTTTCATCATATACAACTAAATTGACTCTACTGAAGCGTGCTGCCACCAATATTCCTATGAAATCGCTGAAATTTAGCGATTTCTGAATTTTATGTTTTTGAAATGTAAAGTGACACAGAGGGACTTGGTTGAATTGTGTTAATTTTGTCGAATAGGTGTTACCTGGGCCAATCGCGTTATTGTTCGAGTGTTTGGCCCATTACAATTTGAGCGCTCCACAGCTCGATAGAACGAGACCAAATCGGAGCACATACTTTGTGCTCCTCTACTCGAGATTCACTAACAAGCGCTGCTTAACTGTAAATAAGGGTGGTATTGAATGTCACTAAATATCAATACACATTTCGCGATAACCGGATGGGCGGAGAAGTAGACGGCAATCCGCAACGACTGCAACTTCCTCATTTGTGCGCTCTTCCCTCCAATATGGTGAAAGGGAAGGCAGAATGCTCTCCGATTACCGCAGAATTATCTTCGAGAATTGCTTCAAAAAAACGAATGAAAGGAAAATGCATGATATCACTCCTTACTGTGTTAAAATTTTGCTATTTTGTCGACAAATATCTCGGAAGGTGTCATCTATTTAAGCAACTTCCACGACACTATCGTCATTGAATGGAATAACGTCAAGTGGTACTGTGGAGGAACTTCGACAACGTATCGATCGGAACGGATACGTCTGCCAAACGTCAAAGGACTGAAGGTTCTGTCAGGCTGAAGATCGTTCAACGGCGGTCTGCACCATTTTCATCTACTTCGCGAAGTAGCCGCCCAATCATACACTCCTGCTCAACTAATGTCGACATGCTTGTCTTCAGAGTGATCGAAAAGTAGATAGTAACGGAGTAGTTCTATGGATAAGTGTGTGTTGCCCACTAATATCTGCCGAATGCTTGTTGTATGTATATATTTTATGACACACTACGGGTACTTATCAAATAAATATCGCTGGTTTCTGTGCTGCACTTGTCAAGAGTTTACTGGGAAAGACCCCTTGGGGTACAAGCAAAATGGAGAGCTTGAAAAAAATGGAGAGAAGTAGAGCGACAATTACACCGTTCTGTGTATAGTATCAAGGCAAAGCCATCAAAGTCAGCCAGTCCAAAGTTCGGAATGTCATACGCTTGCTAAACTGACTCGATCACTCCCGGGACGAGTTTTCAGCAGTTCCCCCTCCCCCATCAATCTGAACCTCGTTCCACTGGTTGCCACAGCTCATTAGTACCGAACCAATAGTGACTGCGCTTTTCACCTTGGTTAAGACCCCAAGCTCTAGTCGTGTCATCCATTCCTTCAGTGAGCACAATATACATGTTATTCGGGAGTACGGCAGCCGCTTGGTGAGCGCGAGTCGACGATACAAGAGAGTCTACCAATCAACCTTTCAGGGGTACCAGTAAAGGTGAGTGGAGGGGGGTTCCATGGTGTACCCCTGCAAAGAGCCCAGAGGTCCTGTACCACCTTTGGGTTCAGCTGCAAGCTTAGGTGGCCAAGTGCCTGCGTAGATGCTGGAAAAATACTGGGATATCATAAGCTTTCTGCGAGGATTCCTTGAACAAAGATTCCCCGCCTGGAGCCTATTTGGTGAACCAAGATGCCATCAACTAGTGATCCAAAGGCACCCGAAGGGCAATGGGTGGGTCTGAACGGGCGTAAGGCTATGGAGACGATTTCAACATAACAGCAACAAAGGGTATAATTATGAAGCTTCATGTTGCGCACGCGAGGCGCAAGTCATACTCGTTGTGAACACGCGTACTGTCAGATGCGCTCGTAGAGGCTTATTGAAAATAATGAGGATAACCCTGAATCGCTAATTAAGAGACGATGATTCAGATTGGAAGAAAACAATGAGCACCCTACCCATCAATAGCGTGCGCTATCTGCCAATTCGTCGATGTTGTCAGCATCACTTCCAACGGATTCGACGCAAGAGGGAAGAAAATTTGATGAGATATTACTGATAACGCTAATGTGAATGCCGTCATACAACCCTGAAACCTTGCGATGAGACTACTGACATGAAGCTAAGGTGTTATGAACCAGTGCGTAAAATCGAACGTTCCGCCTCATCAGCACCATCTGCTCCTCCGATCCACCAGTATTTTTTGGTACAACTCCTGAAAAATGCTTGATCGACTCCAAACACCATCACATCATCACGAACCGAGCGACCTTTTTTGTATTTTGACATCAACGATCATCAGTTGCGATTTTAAAAATGTCTTCTTAAGATGCGCTTCTTTAGAAGTGAACATGCTTCAAGAATTACCTTCTTTTTTGAAGAGTAAGCACGAATCGCATTCATTTGTACGGTCGCTAAGTCGCAATGCGACAACGCGCAACGCAAGGCGGAAAGTTTCTGAGCACGCCAACAGCTCTTCTGGTATTTCATGGGAATTCCGATCTTCTATTTGGTTTTTAAGCACTCCCTATTCCATATAACTCATTCATATAGATAAGGATGAGCAAGTAAAGGAAACCCAGAAAAAAAAACATTCAAGGCGCTCAAGGCGGGGGTGCGCCCTATCCATTGGTAATTCTCACATTCCAGATATTAGAGCAATCTGAGGTGGAGTGCTTTTGAAATTTCCAGCATACTAACAGAATCCTCATTAATGACAGACAGAAAAAGAACAGATTAACTGACCGTCGTCCTCTTTCTAATATAGAAAAACGTCACACTGTTAATAAACAACATCAAAATGATTGTGGCTGTTCCGTGCTAGAACACCATATAAAAGCCGACGATATCACCGCACGTTTCCGTACGGTAAACCCATGAGAAGTGAATTGCACTGAACCAGTACTCACAGTCATCTGGATATAGGACCATTTCCTTCCCTCAAACATTGACTAAAAATGTGTATTGTGTAAATGTGTGTAAAAAGCACAACGGCAGTGATATTGGTGACGCTTCCAACGATTCCGAGCTAAAAACTGATTTTGCACTGGAGATTATGAAGAGACTATAGAAGGTGGCTGATGCAAAGACGAAAGAGGAAGTGATGCTACGTTGCACTCGTTCGTACATCAGGTCAAGATTACGAAGTCTTTCACTTGCCAAAGTCAGCGAAAACGTTTCTGCATAGTGTCCAAGGGGAAACCGTGATTCCTGCCGGAAGGCAAGTTTCCTTTTTTGTGTTTTTCGAATGTAGCTTATTTGATGGCTCCTGTGCTTCACTCTCTTAAGAATTGTCATAATTTAGAGTTATTCGTTTATTTTCTGTGGAAGTTTTGCCGTTAGGGGAACACGATGAGATTCCCGGTATCGCGGCGCGGAGAACCTTAGAGGCCTTCTGGATCATGGCCAAGAACCCTAAGATCAATAGGAGGGAAGAGTGTGTGGCGGTTACCACGGAGCTGGCGCCCTTCGAGAGTCTGTGCGGGTTTTGATCTTCTGGTCGATCCCCGTGGTCCTTTGCGGCGGGGTCGGCGGGTTGGTACAGTAATCAATAGTATGAGTGGTAGACGGGTTTTGCAGTGCGGGTGGCCTGGAGTGACCTTTTGGAGGAGTTTGATCTACACGATCGACCCTCGGGAGGTCCCTCAGGAAAGTGACCTGGAGGCCTACCTATTTAAGCCGCTTTACCAGTAGAC